CTGCCAACCCCATCCATGGTGCACCCTACTCTTGACAAGGTTTTCCAGTAATTTACCACAGGCTAGGCATTGCTATACCATTGAGAATGAGCTGAACGAGACTGAAATTAGAGAAGATGTTGTAATAGAAAACATTACCTGGCTTCCACAAACATTGAGGACAAATAGATTCTTGGGACTTAGAATCACACAGATTCCATGATGGAATTATGTAGGTGATGCTGATATCAATAAGGATTCCTACTGAAAACCAGATAGCCTCTGGCTTTCTATGAAACCCACTTCATCATGGCATGGCTACCCAAAGTGAACATGGAACTGGGAGGAGAACCCTTTCCTAGGCACTTCCACTTGGATCATTTCCTTCCCACCAGACTTCCAAAAGAACAGGCCTCTAACTCCATTGTTGGGCCCTGAATCATATGCTATCTTGCTTTCATTTTGAATGGCTTCACATGCATATGTCCATCTTCCTAGGCACAGGGAATACTTTAAACTGTCAGCATAAAATAGACCCTCAATAAACACATGCTGATTTCTTGAAGCATCTAAGTTCTACATTCCCATCTTGAGAAAGGAGCCCACTCTTGTTTCCAAGCAGCTTATTAGCTGAATTTAATCAACTATTTAGCTAGAGCCCAAATGCTATCCATATTTCTTTCAATGTTCTTCTAGTTTACTGCATGGTGCTTAAGTTTAGGCTGAGGATATTTATGCCAGTAATATCAGAAAAAGGCATAAACAGTATGACTATAGCTTTAATTCTGCTTTGTTTTGCAGAGTTGCTGGAGCTGACAACTTCACAACAAGGTGTCTGCTTCCCATAAATCAGAGTAGGCAATTTTTCTCCAATTATATTTTAATTCATGGATAATCATTCTCCATAGCAGGTGGCAAGTAGAAGGGGGCTGGAAGCCAGGGAGAAAGAAGGTATGATAAAGTATTAAATAATTTTTATTTGAATTTGTACCCGCAAGTATTGTAGGAATAGCAGAGACAAAATGCATCTGGTAACAGAACCCAGGTGAACAGAATGCATTAAGTGAATATTGGATGCATCCAGAATCATCTCCTCAGCCAAATGTAGTTCAGTCTAAAACAGATCGTTTCTCACTTAGATTCTCTGATTGCCTAATTCTTCATTTCATCATAAAGCCCTCCTTCCACCTTTTGCTTGGGGATTCTGAACATGAACTTGAGATTGTTCTAAGAACTGCACTGTCATCTAGGACTTGATCTACACCACAAAAAAAAAAAAAAATGCTTTCCTTTACCTAATGTGTCTTGTTCCAGTATTTGGAACACCCATGTACAGAGAAATTAATTAAACAAACCTTAAAAGGACCCATATGTCTTACTAAAATTGTACTCCTAATCTGTTTGCCAAATTTTTATTAACCACATTATGTGACAGACACTTTAAAGTACAGAAATGAGTAAGACACAAGATATCGCAATCAAAAAGCTTCCGACTAATAGGAAAATCACTTACACAAGCAGAATTCTTATCCAATTGCCAGCTCCAGCCCATCCTCCCTGCCTGCTCCATCTCAGGACAGCATGCACCACCTGCCCTGGTGGTTTATACCTATACCTGGATATCACCTTTGATTCTATGATCTCATGTTGCTCCATCCTGATGGCTAAACTCTGATCCAAGCCACCATTATCTTTCATTTGGCTTAAGGAAACAGCTTTCCATATGATCTCCCACTTGTATACTACATTCTCTAAGAGATATACACTCTAATTTTTATAGTAAGTACACCTTCAGTACACCCTTGATTAAATCTCTCCAGTGCCAGTGCCCTTAGAAAACTGACTCCTTCCAATAGCCTAATGGCCCTTCATTAGCTGGCGCTTGACTACCCCCCAACCTCACCTTGTACCTCTCTTCTTGCTTACTAAATCCCACTTACTCAGACCCTCTTTCCCCTTCTTACTTCAAAGTCACTGTACTCGCCTTCTTCTCTGCCTGGAACATTCTCCATTTCATTTCCTTCTTTCTTTTATAATTATCATCTCACTTTACTCAGGTCTTAGATCAAATGTCCTGGAAGGAGTGAGAACCTTTGAGCATATGGCTTAGCTCTGTGAGAAATGTCCATTCCTCAGGAAGCCTTCCCTGACCACTCCACAAACACTGCTCCAGGACATTCCATTTCATTTTACTTTCAGTATTTTTTTTTTCAATTACCTGTTGTTTCTGTTCTCTGACTAGCATGGAAACTGGTCTTGCCAGTACCACTGTCTTAGAATCACACTTGGTTCCCAGGAGGCACTCTGAAAAGGGTTTGCTGACATATGAATGGACATTACAAAGAAGAATGAAATGAGAAATAAACAAGGAGAGAAATGAATTACAGTAGATGGGGTAGAGAGAGAAGATGGGAGGGGAAGGGAGGGGGGATAGTAGAGGATAGGAAAGGTAGCAGAATACAACAGTTACTAATATGGCATTATGTAAAAATGTGGATGTGTAACCTATGTGATTCTGCAATCTGTATTTGGGGTAAAAATGGGAGTTCATAACCCACTTGAATCTAATGTATGAAATATGATATGTCAAGAGCTTTATAATGTTTTGAACAACCAATTAAAAAAAGAAAAAAGAAGAAGAATGAAATGAGGACAACAGAAACGCAGCAAGGTAGCATAATAAGGGGCATTTATTTCGGCTGGGAGGAGAAAAGTTGGGAAAAACTTCCAGAGGAGAAATTATTTGTATGGTGCCTTGGAGGATGAGTAGGTAGCAAAAAAAAAAAAAAAGCATCTCAGGCTCTGAAACTTACAAAGGAAAAGCTCCAAAGGATTTGAGGGCATGTCTGAGCAATAAAAACCAATTCTAATGTGGCCCAGAACATATGGAGGGAGGTACTGAGAGAGTTACACAGATGATGAACCACCTCAATGGCAAGGTGTCAAAACTTTATAATTCAGACAATGAAAAGACCTGAGGATGAAACTGGTACACTCCAAAATGCCTTTTATAAATACTAAGAAAAACTGCTTGAATTTAAAAACAAATAACAAAAAATGGCATTACTTTTAAGAAGACTATATATTCTTCTGCATTATGGGGAGGGGAAAGGACTTCAATCCCATGTGTAAATGAAAAAGGAGGAGCTCAAGACACAGTGAGTCTGTGTCTCAGATGAAAGGCTAAGTACAGAATACTTTTGAGTTTTCAAGACATAAATAGCCACATTACATTTCCAGATGGTTTCAAGCTAAAAGGTGTCACTGCTGCTTAGGATAAGAAAGGTGGGATGTGGACTTCAGGATTAACTGGATCTTGGGCTCAGCAATCACACTTCATATCACAGAACAATCTGATTAGAAAAACAGTATTTAAGAGAAGGGAACATACTATTTAAACTGAAAATAACCTAAAGACCTGTATACTTTATTAAATAACATACACAAATGAATGATTCAATCCTAGTCACTGTTTTATCAACAGGAAGTTGCTAAAACCATTGTAAGGGAATTAAGAACCTATGACAAAATATGATTTCTGTGCCCTACCCCCTTTATTTTGGTGATGCTAGGTCTCGAACCCAAGATCTTGTGTATGCTTGGCAAGATCTCTACCACTGAACTCCATCCCCAGTTCATAAAATATACTTTGCGAAGTATTGACTATTCAGTTGGGCTGAGAGTTCTCACATCTCAGGGGTCTCATTAATAGGATTTATCTCAGAAAAGAATTGTTTAATGAGCCCAACTTTCCTCATAACACATGACACAAGATAGAGAGGATGAATGATAAAGACAAAGGCAGATACAAGGGAGTGAACTGCTTGTGCTTCTACAAGTCTGCAGACACACTGTTGGACCAGTTGGCTTTTTTCTTTATTTCTCCTTTAGCAAGGCGCAGGATCTTGGCATCAGCCTATAAAAGGAGAAACCCAGAACAATGATCAAAGGTCTCTCCTGTGGTGCTGACAAAATTCCTTGTAGGTATTTGCTTTCCACAAACCAGACTGCTGACCCAATCTGAAGAAATGAGGACCTTTGAGCATATGGCTTAGCTCTGTGAGAAATGCTGAGTCAGAGGGTAAGAGGCCACCGGAATTGGGCCCCAACCATAGTAAGTGGTAATGTGCTGCTGGAGTTAGAGACACCTGGATGCATACACCATAGCTCTAAATGAAAGTATGAGTGAACAAATGTATGCAAATTTCCTCAAATGTCACAGGAAAATAGCTGGCAAAAGAGAATGGATACAAGGTGCTTAATACAGTGGCTAGATGTAGTAAACACTAAACAATCAACAGTTCTAAAAGATGTTGTTCTTGTCAGTTGTATATACTTATTAATTCTATTATTTTATGTGAAGTTCTCTGGGGAAGAAAGATAAAATCATGGAGCCTCACAAAGCTGGAAGGACCCTAAAAGTACCTTCATCCAGTTTCCTGTTTTCAGGTATTTTTGTCATCACTGACTGTCACTTTCCTGATAAAGTCACCAGGAACTTGAGCAAATAGGCTGATCACTCAAGTCACCATTAACGCCCTTTAAAATAGTCTTGTGTTCTCCATGATCCCCTAGTATTTGAAAGTATTTCCTGGGCACTATATTAGATGCCCTAAGAGTTAAGGCTGCCTCTGTTATTACAAATAACTTACAAAACAAGATGAAAGTATATAAGCCAAAGGGATCATGTGCTGAGTAATCAAAGTGCCAACTGTAAAATATTAGACAGTTATGAAAATGATAATAAAGCTCATAACAACCCTTGCTAATGCATATTGTGTTGTTAAGCAAAAATTAGAAAAAATAATTCTATTTATGTTGTAATTATAGCTAAGTAAAAGTATGTGTGTAAATATATATATATATAGCAAGGGCTAGGAAGCAACTTGAAAAATGACTACAGCTAATGTGCTAAGGAGGTGCTGTTGCAGAAGTTTAAGTTTCATCTCGTGACTATAATGGAGCTGGAAAGGTAAACACCACAGCAGAGACAATCACAGGGAAGGAGGCTGTCCACTTACCCAGGATTATACAGCATGACTGCGGACAGGTTCTCACAGGACTTTGAGAGGTCGGTCATGGACAAGCTGAAGGAGGACAGAAGGCCACTCTAAGAGCAGACACAGGGCAGAGTGGTTACCTTAGCAAGGAAGAGAAGGCCAGTGCTGTGGACTCACTGCTTCCAACTTGTAAGAGACAATGAGATGCACATGCTCCTGTTAGCATGCACAACAACTGGTCTATCTGAGGACAGCAGATCTGGAACCTTCAGGCCCTAGTTTAACCTCAAACCAAATCCTGAGTGAGAAGTACACAGGAGCCTGACATTCCAGTATAGGGAACATTCACCAGGAATTGCACAACCCAGATGGTCTCCTTTGAAAATTTTTAAAGTTAAAGTGGAGGAAAGAGGTCACAACCTCTTTGACATCCTTCTCCCAGCAGGCAGCATCACCCATTATTAGTGGCACTCACAATTACAGAATGATAAAGACCAGGGAGGCAGAGGTAAGGAAAAACCAAAAAGGTGAGAGTTAGACCTATTTTGCTTCCATGGAAAGCCACTGGTAAACAGGCTTTCTTTCCTCTGTTTCTCTAAGTTTATACCAAAAGAATCCTCAAGAGTGACTCTAGACTGGAACAGAAAAGAGGACTCAGGAGTGGGGCTATGGCTTAGTGGTATAGCACTTGCCTAGTATGTATGAGGCACTGGGTTTGATTCTCAGAACCACATATAAATAAAATAAGTAAATAAATAAAGATCCATCAATAACTAAAAAGAAATTTTTAAAAAAAAGAAAGAAAGAAAGAAAAGAGGTTTCAGTGGCCAGACCAGAAGCCTGGGGAAGGCTAGGGTCTATAGCTCTGTCCTCCATCTTTGGTGAGTGCAACCCCAGGTAGTCCTTCTAGAAGAAGGCTGAGATGAAAGGCTATGAAACTTGATGGTTGAGGCAAAGGCCTCAGACTTCTTAAAAGAGGTTTAACATCAAGCAAACATATGGTCACAAATTTTTAAAAAATGTTTCCTCATGATATGAGCAGAAATCTCAAAGAAAAGTGCTTTCAAAAGAAATCATGAGGTGGCCTCAGAGCAAGTTAGAGAAAGTAAATCTCAGACCAGTTTTTCCGCTCAGTTCTCTGTAACATGGGCACAATAACATTTGCTGTGTAGATAAAGTAGAAGAATATACCCAGGATGTAAGCATAGTTCCTGGCTTAGAAATGTTGGCTGGGGTCTTTACTGTCTTCAACAGTCTAAGGACCAGCCATGACATCCCTAGCAGATTTCCTTCCCTCCCATCTCTTCTCTTCTTTCTTAGGTCCTCAGCTTACACCCCCAACCCCATTCAGCAATTAAAGCACCCTCTGGATGGCCCTATCTAAGCAAGTCAAAGTCCCTCCCCATTGTCCTAAACTCCTTCCTGCTCTACTTCACACCTCAGTTAAAAACCTAATTTACTGTGGCTGATTTGGGATTTGATGAAAGGGATTCCAATATTGGGTTAATTTCTAAGACAGATGTGATAAGTGGAAGTCATTCTTCATTAATACAAAATGATACCCAGTTCCTTCGGGGGAGGGGGGAAGGCTGAAGAGAAAGAGCTGTAAAGAGCAGGTTCTCTTTGTCAGTCTGGATTCCACTTGCTTGGTCTCCTGCTCCAACACCCCATTATCTGTCTGGAAGCCAACAATCTAGAGTCTATCCAGGCTATAGAACTTCCTCTCAAGAAGTTCTGTATTTCAGAAAATTAAACTGTTGGAACTACAGTGAACACCTACACTCTCACGCCAGGTCAGGGGCTCCCTCCTAGAGACTTTACACCCTCACCTTTCTCTTCTCCCGGAGCTTGGCAGCTTCCTTCGGATGGTTAAAGCGAAACATATTGGTCCTTCCCAAGAGTATCACAGCACCTGAAAACACACAAAAACACTGATGCATTTATAATAAGCAATGTGGTCAGCTGCAAGAAATGTAATTTTCAGTATACTATAAAATAATCAGGGAAAGTATTAGTCACCAAAGTCCACTGACACAAGTAAGTTTATTTGTGTATGTGTGTGTGTGTGGTATTGGAGATTTAACCTAGGGGCACTCCACCACTGAGCTATATATACCCCTAACCCTTCTTTACTTTTAAGACAATGTGTTGCTAAATTATTGAGGCTCACCTCCAATTTGGATCCTTCCACCTCAACTTCCCAAGTCTCTGAGATTATAGGTGTGCCACCTTGCCAGGCACACATGTTAATTTTAAACCAGGAAAAACTTTATTTTTACAGGTGGATATCTAAATACTTATAATAACCAAGGCAAAAGTGACAAATGTAAGCATTACAACCTATGATAAGATTTTAAATTTAATATATAGACAATTCCACTTTTGATAGTTTGAAAGCAGAACAAAAAAACAGTTCTTAAAAGAGGTTTAACATCAAGCAAATATATGGTCACAAATTTAAAAAAAATGTTTACTCATGATATGAGTAGAAATCTCAAAGAAAAGTGCTTTCAAAAGAAATCATAGGCAGAGTACAGGTAACTATTACTAACATCTCCCTCAGAATTTGGTTTATATGGTCTATTTTCAAGGGAACACACTATTTTCCATCAAAACCCCATTAAAATTTAGGTGGCCACATTAGACACTCAAGAAAAATTCCTTTTGAAAACTAGAGTCCTCCTTATTTAGAAAACAACTGCTCAGCAAGCAAAAACATTTAGGGAAAATGCACAAGGATAAAAAGTTATAGGTGAGCATGCCGGTGGATTTCAACTTGATCATGCAAAAACCTTTTCTTTTTTGTGGGGAGGAGGGGAGTACTAGGGATTAATATCAAGCGCACTCAACCACTGAGCTACATCCCCAGCCCTATTTTTGTATTTTATTTATAGACAGGGTCTCACTGAGTTGCGTAGTGGCTCACTGTTGCTGAGGCTGGCTTTGAACTTTTGATCCTATTGCCTCAGCCTCCCAAGCTGCTGGGATTACAGGTATGTGTCACTGAGTGAGAGACAAGCAAAAACCCTTTCTAAAGTCAGGACTGTTCAATGTAGCAAAGGAGTCATGCAGGGTAGTGAGTTCCATGTCACTGGAGGTGTTTAAGAGAAGTGATCCTGCAGAAGACATTTACAATCCTATTTGGTCCCATCCATGCCTGCATGTCCATAACACCTCAGAACATACCCCATGTTCAAACTAGTCTTGGCGGGGGGGACTTATTTGTGAAGACCAGATACACATAATGAAGAAAGTCAACCATGAAGGATGATGAGTATAAGTGTGTGGTTATATGTGTAACATCAAAGTGACATGTGCAGACTAGAGTAGCTGGTAACAGACCTCAGTACCAAGAACCTAAGCTGAATCTCACTAGATAACCAGAGGCCAAGAGGAGGTGTTCCCTGTGAGGTAATAGCAGAGACAGGCTAAGCCTTAGACTGGAAGATGGCCTGCTATGCTGGGGACAGCAGAGAAAGCCAAGTCCACCCAAAGCACAGGATGTTTGAAATGACAGCAAGAATTGACATTGGATAGAAGAAGCAGAACAGACTATGTATACCACAGGTGCCAAGACAAGAGTTTTCACCAGAAGTCAAGAACTGGTTGATAGCAATAAAACTCAGTCTATAGATGAGCTTTGTGTATCCCCTATAAGATTTCAAAGTCAAACTATTAATTGTCCAAGTTAAAAACTTGGGATTTCATATAAAACTGTGTGTTTCTTTTAGCACTCCTAGGCAAACTAGAAGACACAGTGGATCTTGGCTGTCACTGCACAGAAAACTCTGTGGGCTGCTGGTGGCTGTCTCCTTTGGACAAAACACATAACCAGTCTCTTGCTTGGGTCGCGTCTTTATCGGGACCCTGCAGGTGATATCATACCCCCAGATATATATTCTGGAGCTTCAGCCAGTGTTGTCTCTCTACCTATTTAATGTACTGTCATACTCTATATGTCTCAAAGAAGTTTCAAATCCAGTATAGTTAAAACCCAACTGGTTCAGACCATAATCACCTAAGCTAACTGAAAGACTGGTTGTAGTTGTGGTCATTATTTAACAGAAATGGAGTCAGTATGAAAAGGAGAAGGTAGTTTTAGGAGATCCAGAAGGGCAGCAGTGGGTAGCATCCGTTCTACAATATACTTACCTCCTCATGTAAAATCACATTTGCATGTTTTCTAATAATGGAAAGGGATCATTAATATTATTAAGAAAGGTGTTTCCCATGCCTTTCACAACTAAGACTAGGTGCTATGGGCGGCAAATAAGTCAAAAGTGAAGCAATGATGTCTCAGGTATATGTATCTTTAATGTTCTTCAGATACATTAGAGATTAATAATGCAATCATATTCCAGGTGTTAATTACATCTAATCCAATTCCTTTTTTTCCCTGTTAATCAAATGCCCAGCCATGCAAGTTGAAAATTGCTAAAATATGTTAATGGAAAAATAAAATAGCATTTCAGAGGCATATTTCAAATCGCTTTAAATCATTGAAAATAACCTTGCCACCCATGTTATTTGCATGAAATACACATTAAAAACCCTTTAAGGAGTTATAAAAGAAAGCAAAACTACCCATGACAATTCATTATTTCCATCTAAATAATGTGTGTCAATTGTATGGCATGTAAAAGGGGCTCCATTATGAATGGCTTCCTTCTCTTTCCTCCACTGTTCATTTTTACTCAACAAACACTTGAATTTTAAACTGTGCTTCATTTTTACATGATGCTAGATTCATTTAATCAGTAAATACCTGATGAATGCTTATTGTATGCTAGTCATGGTGCTAAATATTACAAATACAGAGGTAAACAAATCAGAAAATGCCTTGCCCTTGTGAAGCTTAAGTAGAAAATAGGAGAGAGGGATAAATAATCAAATAATTGCATAAATGAATGCAAAACAGCAGCTGAAGAAAAGAAAATATGCTCAGGGAACCAGCAGCAAAAGAGGAGGGGGTTCACTTTAAGGGAGGCTGGGGAAGGATTCCCTGAAGGAAGCAGTGCTCTGAGGATGAGTTGGGGAGAGGGGCATGTGCAAAGGTCCTATGACGGTAAAAAGAAATGATAATGATGAGTGATTAGAAGATAGTCAGATGGCTGTGGCAGAGGGAATAAGGGAAATCACTGTGTAAGATAAGGCTTGAGAGAGAAAAAGGGAGACAGTGGAGCACCTCAAACCTTTCAGGATATATAAAGTCTCTTTTGCCCTATGTAGTTGCAATAGAAAGACACTGTAATGGCACATGATTATGTTCGAGTTTTGGAAAGATCATTCTTGCAATTGACTGAAGAATGACCAAAGTGCATGAGAGTAATGTGAAGCGAAAAGCTAGGTGACTCTCAGGTTAAAGTGGATGGTACCTCAGGACTGGGTGACAGCAAAGAAGACAAATAAACAAATCTGAAAGTTATTTAGGAGACAAAATCAACAGGATTCAATGATGGGCTAGATACAGAGAGGAGAAGGGAGTTGAGGAAGCCGGATCCTGGGTTTTGGACCACGTTGCTGGCTGGATGGGGCACCATCTACTGAGACCAGGAATATTGAAAAAGGACCAAGACTTGATTGGGAAAAGAGTCATGAGTTTGGCTTGAGACATAATGAATTTGAGCTGCCTTTAGCAAATGAAAATATGGATCTGAGGCCCTAAAAGAAAGGCCTATCCTATCTACCTACCTACCCACCTGTTAATTATTTACCAAACACCTGTACCTGTATGTATGTGCACATTTTTATAAGCATATATACACATATACAAAGATATATTAGATATATTAGTGTAAAAGCCTAGTGTGTGCGTGTGTGTGTGTGTGTGTGTGTGTGTGTATTTGAGAATTCTTTCTAAGAAACAAAGTCACAGATATGAGAATGTTATTCAAGGAGAAAAGAGGGAGGTAGAAGAAAAGAGGACCTAAGATCAGCAATTGAAGGATGTGGATTTAATGGCCAAGTAGAGAAGGATGAACGTGCAAAAGAAAAGGGAAGAGCCATCAGATAGAGAGAAGGAAACTCTCAGGAGCCAAAGGAAGAAGTGGCTAACGGTTCAGAGTGCTTCTGAGAGGTGGTGTGGTGGCCTTAGTTGGTAGTAGCAAAAAGCCAGAACAAAGGGACTGAGGGGTGAGAGGTAAGGGGTGCAGATCTACCAAGTGCACACAACTCACTGAGAAGTCATAGACAGAAAGATGGAGTTGGTAGTAGTCAGGATCCCCTTGGGATTTTTGTTTTTTAAGAAAATTCCTGAGTATACTTAAAAAACAATAAGTGAACCGAAAGAAGCAGATGAATAAATGAATGAATGAATAAAAGGACAAATTAATGAGAATGACTAGTGGTATACAATTTCTGCATGAGACCCAGAACATGTGTCTGGCCAAGGACAAGTCACTCCTTAACTTCTCTAGAATTCATCAATCTGAATAACTCCTAAGGTTCCTTCTAGGTCTTAAATTCTTTTTAACTATGAACTGCTTCTTGCTCTGAGATTAATGTGATTAATCACAGCAGATGGACTTTTTGTGATACACTTAATTTGTAATTTTGAAAGCGTATCTAAACCACTTTGAAATATATGATGGCTTCTTTGAGATTACTTCAGAGCTTGTTAAATACCTGAAGACAGACAAATTCCAGATGGTCTTAAAAGTGAATGAAGAGAAAATGACATTGTAAAAGGAAAATGACATTTCTAAAAAAAGAAAGAAAAGCTGAATTTATATTTCTGTGAATAAGAATCACTTAATGTGGTTTCACATGAGATTTTCTTATTTTAACATTTTAAGCAAGCAAAAAAAGTATGTAAATATTTCCTGAGATTTCTAAGGAGTGTAGAGTAATAACTAATGTCACCATTAATTACTCTCCTCCTTAAATTTTAGATGAGATTTTCTAATTCTGTTA